GATGAACGTCAGCCTTCCTGCTCCTATGATGCTGCTTGGCCTGCTGTGTTCATCCAGCTCTGCACCTTGTTGTCTCAACTTAATTCTGTTCCTTTATCATACGGTCTTATGGTTTGTGCCTAATTTGCATTTCCAAACTCACCACCACCCAAGGTTAATCCTTGCACCTCCAAACTCACCACCACCCCCAAGGTTAATCCTTGCACCTCCAAACTCACCACCACCCAAGATTAATCCTTGTTTATCCAACTGGGATGCATCAAGTGGGTGAAAAATGACCTGTAATCATTTTGTTCTGGAGACTAAATGAAACTGGAGGTGAAGTGCAATGAGTGAATAGTGTGTTTATTGCACAGCTAATTGGTGTAGAGAACGTCCAATCAGTTAATGAGGCCCAGTTAATCCTCAGTGGTGAGAGAAATCACAGTTAATCTCTGCAGTCAGAGAGACCAGGGTTAATCGTCACAATGAGTGAGACCATGGCTAATCCCCCTCCTGGATTGTCACCTGCAAAGTAAAGAGAAATGACAAGATCAAACAGGAACTAACAGATACAACATGGCACATTGATTATCTCCCCTCATGCACAGTCACTGTCCCTCCCCCAACAGTGATATTATCCCATCCATAGTTGCACCTTAGAAGCCTAGCATAGACTGCCTGCATTCAGAACTTTCATCTACTCAGTAACGGAATGGTTTAATCTGAAGAGAAGTGTGTGACTTCTGAAGTGTTATTCCATTGTGGGATGCATCACAGCTGAAGCACAATCCACACGAATGCACTTTCTCAGCATGGAAGGGGATGGAGGATGCAGACTCGTAATCAGCAAGGTATATCCTGACAGAGTTTGTTCCCTCCATGACTCAGGAGGTTTTGCCATCAGTTTCTTCTCAGCAGGGTGAGGCTGCCTGCCTTAGTCTTACCATGTGTGGCTTTTCATATGACAATCACCAGGGAAAAGCACTTTCTTTGAAGACATAGACATGTCCCCAGAAGATTAGAAGTGTGAGTTCATATGGCATTGGGGATCCATACTGCCAGCACCCCACCAAAAACCAAATGGGGTTAGAGGAGACCCTTGATCCCATCAAGCCTCTGTTACAATACAATCAATGCTGATCCATACATTGACTCCATTCCCTGCCTTGGTTCTGTAACCATTAATACTTTTAGGAAGATAGATTTTCACTGTCTTTTGACTAAGTGCTTTCTGACACCAATCCTGAACAGACTAACTTTAATTTTAAAACTATAACATCTTATTCCAGGAAATTATTTCTCTTGATTGACCTTTTCAAATCCATTAGTCATTTAAACACTCAAATCTTCTACATTCAAAGAATTGGAAGCCAAATCTCTGTTGTCTCACCATTTTACTCATATCACTGGGTTTTCATTCTGATGAATCTGTGTTGTACCACTTCTGAGATACAATGCTCAGAATTGAACGTTAGGTAGGGTGTGATCAAAGCTTTATTAAGCTGCAACATAAATACTCCATCCTTTGTATTCCAGTCCTCTTGAGATGAATCCAAACATCAGGAAAAAATCCAATCATGGACAATTCCTGCCTCATCAGTCTCCTCTCAATCTTCAAAGTGATGTTATCAAGCAGTACTTATACTTGTTCATCAACACCTAATTTGGGTTCCATCAGGGCCACTCAGTCCTTATCTTGGTCCAAACATGGGCAGAAGTGCTGAAGACAAGAGGTGAAGTGAGAGTGACTGCCCTTGACATCAAGGCATTATTTTACCAAATGTAGATTATTAATCAATGAGTTCTAGCAAAACTAAAATCAATGAGAATTAAAGGGGACACCATCTATGGGTTGAAGTCATATCTAGCACAAAGGTTTGGTTTTCTGAGGTCAATCAACTCAGTCCAAAGACATCACTACAGAGTTCCTCAGGGTAATGTCCTAGACCCAAACATCTATAACAGCTTCATCAATGACCTTCCCTCCATCATAGTCAGTAGTGGGGATTTTCATTGGTTACACAATGTTCAGCATCATTCATGACTCTTCTGACACTGAAGCAATCCATGTCCAAATGCAGCAAGAGCTGGACGATATCCAAGCTTAAGCTGACAATTGGCAAATAACAATTGTACCAAATGCCAGGCAATGACCATTTCCAACAAGACAGAATCTATCTCCCCTTAGTAGTCAAAAGCATTACCATTGCTGAGTCCCTGATTGTCAATATCCTGGGGGTTACCATTGACCCACAGAGTAAAACTGTGGCTACAACAGCAGGTGAGTGACTGGGAATTCAGTGGCAAATAACTCATCTCCTAACTCTCTAAAGCCTATCTGCCATTTACAAAATGCAAGTTAGTCATGTGATGGAACATTATCAACTTAACTGAATGGGTGCAGCTCCAACAAAACTCAAGAAGCTTGACACAATCCAGGACAATGCAGCCCGCTTCATTGACGTCCCATCCGTGATCTTAAACATTCACTCGATCTTTTACTGCCGCACAATGGCAGCAGTTTGTATTATCTCAAGGACGCACTGCAGTAACTCACCAATTCTCCTCTAAATGCACCTTTCAAAGCTGAAGACTCTACCATCTAGATGGTCAAGGGTGGCTTATGCATGGGAATGCCACCTGTGTAAGTTCCCCTCCAGGCTGCACACCATCTTGGCTTGGAACTGTATCGCTGTTCCTTCACCAGTGCTAGGTCAAAGTCCTGCAACCTTCTCCCTAATTGTACTGCAGATGGCCCTACATGCCAAGGACTGCAGTGATTCACCACTACATTCTCCAGGAAATTAGGGATAAATGATGAATGCTAGGCATCATCAGTGACAGTCACATTACATGAAAGAACGGATGCAAAGGTTTTGTTAGCCTTTTTAATAATGTTGGTATTTATCCAAAAGCTTCAATACCGATTCAAAGTTGCCGCAAAAGAAGCATCATTGTTGAGTGGGGGAGAATGTTAAGCAGAAAATAATAGCCGATCTTCAGGACCTCGAATTGAATCCAAGCAAGATTTGAAAGGTTGATGTCTCCTTTCTGATGTCAAGCACGTTGAGTTGGGAGGCTGTAAAGTTCATCAAACGGTGGAAAAATATACTGGCTTGCCCCTCCTATTGATAGGGAGCACAACGAAAAAGAACTTGAGGTTCAAGACATAAGGATAGATTGAGATGGTCAAATATCTTCTGGGATATTGGGGACCTGGCCTTGTGGACTTTTGACACAGATTGATGGAGGACAACCACCCAGATGTAGGCAGTAGAGCACAGGAATAGCTGTGGAAGGACATTAAATGGGTCAGTAAAGTCAATGAGGGGACAGCAGACTTGATATTGAGAGAAAACTAAATAGATTGTGGGATCTATGGTAAGGTAGAGTCTTAATGACACAGAAAGACTTGATGCAATGAAGAGTGATCCTGCAAGCTCACATTTTAGCAAGCATAGAGTGAACTTCAGTTCCTTCCGAAGAGGCTTGAAATGTTCCCGATGGCTGGAAAGGCTTTACATTTACTGATGAAGACAGACATCCTGTGATTCTCCTGATGGCTGAAGAGGCATGGGGTTTTCCTGATTGTTAAAGGAGTATGGGGTTTTCCTGATGGCTAAAGGGACATGGGGCTTTCCTGATGGCTGAATTGGCCTGGGACTTTACTGTTGGATGTGATTTTCATGATGGCTGAACAGGCCTGGGATTTTCTCGATGACAGTCACAGTTTGAGATTTTCCTGATAGCTGAAGAGATCTGAGATTTTCCCAATAGCAGGAGAGATCTAGGATTTTCCTGACGATTACTGCAGGCACAAGTTATCATGGGGTAACACAGGTTCTGTGAAATGACGATTGGTCTCAATTCTCAATGTACGCACAACTTCCTCCAGAACTACAAATCTCCATGATCTCTATGTCCTCCTAATTTCTGGTCTCATATAATCCCAATCTTAATCATTCCACAACAGGATGTGCTTTCAACTGTCTTGATCCTAAGCTCTGGAATTCAATGTCTAAAAATCTCTACTTTTCTTCCTGCCATTAAATCTGCCCCTTTCACCACTTTTTTGAAAATATCAATTTGTGCCTGTGAATATCTGCGAAGTGTCCTGTTATAACTGTACTACGTTGAAGGAACCGTACACATGCAAGTTGTTTTTGTTGACTGGGACTTCATTTTGATGTACTTTCTTTCAAACCACTTTATTTCCTGTCTGTTTTAAGGTTTCCTCATTTATTCCATTTCTTTGCTACAGGACTAATAACATGGGTGACAAGATCTTCTTTTCAGACCTGTCAATGCTGCTCTATTCTGGCTTCACTGAGAGGATTGCCTCAGATGGGAAAAAGTGTCTAAGCAGTGCAAAACTTTCCCTTAGAGTATTTGATGAAGACAGTATAGATGGTCCTGTTGTACCTTTCCTTGGAGTTTTTGATGTGGACAGTGTAGATGAAGCTTTACTTTGTATGTAACCCCATGCTGTACCTGTCCTAAGAGTATTTGATGGGGACAATGTAGAGGTAGCTTTACCTTATATCTAACTCAGTGCTGTAACTGTCCTGAGAGTACTTTATCAGGATGTGTACAGAAAGCTTTACTCTCTATCTAACTCTATGCTGTACTTGTTCTGGGAGTATTTGATGAGAACAATGTAACAGAAACTTTACTCTGTACCTAACCTGCCCTGAGAACGTACGATGAGAACAGTGTGGAGGGGACTTTGTATTCTGCACCTGACCTGAGAATGTTTGATGGTGACAGTGTAGAGGCAGTTTTACTGTAGCCAAACTTTATCTGGGTAGATTTGTCAGGACCAACATAGGACAATCCTCTCACTGATGCGCACAAAGAAACAGAAGACATTAAAAAGAAAACATGTTAACACCTTATTATTTATTTGAAGATTTTTCTATTTGGCTTTGGAATGTATTACATAAGCTACGGGAAAACTCAAGGTATTTTTGACTTGACGTGATGCAGAATAAGTCCTAAGGAAAATTCAGCTCCTTTTGGAAGGGTCTACACCAGGCTGATCACCTTGTGAATGTTGACATTCACTGCCTTTCATTTCCTGGCCACAGGAGGGCTGAGAGGCTGGAAAGCATGGATTCATTGACGAGGTCAAATCAGCATCTCTGCATCCCTTCTGCCGTATTGAATTGCACGCTTTCTGCACACAGCCAAACAGCAGATGGCGCACATGCTAACCACATGCTGGTTCCATGTGCTATCACTCCACCCCCACCACAACCAAACTACAGCATGCAGCAAAGCACAGGCAGTGGTGGTGGTGGGTGGCAGGGGGGTAAGATGAAACAAGCCCCATGTTCTCTGGTTAGAGTCTGTAAAACTTTAAAAAGTCATATTTTGTAATTATTAAGAGAAATGTCAGTTAATCAAGCTGCCAAGGCAATGCTGACAGGGTGAGGTGGAAATGGGGGAAACGCATGGGAGGAGGCTCGTGAGGAGCATAGACCAGCTAGACCAAACAGCCAACTCCTGTCCCATGCAGTGACTGCGAAAATGTTCCCAAATTTAGCAAAGTACTGAAGGAGACAATAAGAGTACTCCCTGAACAATGTATGTACAGAACATGCTGTCAGTGTAATGATGCTAGAAGCACTAAACCACAGTAGAAAGAATGACACAACACAAAAAAAAATATGGAACTCTGACAGAGCAGCAGCCCAGTGCCGGAAGATTCCAGAAACAAAACGAGTCAGCGCCAGATACAATTGCCTGGCCCTTCTCGCCACTGAGAGGCGGGTCCCACTCGGGCACAGCGAACCAGCGAATTCTCACTCCCTCCTACTTAATGCACGTTAGGAAGGCTTTGGGGCGGTACGGCACAGTAATTCAGTTACTTTTAAGAGGTGGCACACCGTGGTCTGTGACTCCAGATGAAGACGCTGGTTATTCTGCCGCAGCTGCTCCACCTCAGTCTCCAGCAAAGCCTTGTCCTCTTGCTCCTGATTTTCAAAAATAAAAATAAATCCATCGTTGTATTTCAAAGAATTCTGCCACATTTTTCATTCCACAGTCTGCCACAGGTACAATATAGGGCAAGATACAGAATGAAATTCCCATCTACCCCGATCACATCAAACACTTCCAGAGTAGGTACATCACAGGGTTAAATACAGACTACAGCTTTTTCCTCTACATCCGATTTCTAACCCTAACCCTTTTGCACTTGTTTTAGGGGCTTGTATGATGTACGATAGGGGCCTTCTCCCCTCAGTTCCCCATGAGCCTGTTTCCTCCTCCCTGATGTCGCACAGATCACTGACTTCGCATGGTGGCCCCTGTTTGATCCTGCTGCCTCACCTTAATCAGCTTCTCATTCAGCTGCTTCACAATAGCTTCCAAATGAACCACTTTCTCATTGAGGCCTGTTGGAGATTGGCTGCGAGGAAAAACAAGAAAATTAAACAAACAAGTTAATTAAAGGATGAGCTGCCAGAGGAAGTGGAGGAGACTGGTACAACTACGACATTTAAAAGGCATCTGGATGGTTATATTAATAGGAAGAGTTTAGAGGGATATGGGCCAAATGCTGGCAAATGGGACTAGATTAATTTAGGAAATCTGGTCAGCATGGACAAATTGGACCGAAGAGTCGGTTTCCATGCTGTACAACTCTATGACTCTAAATCCCAATTCAGATCATATCACAGAAATTCAATTGTCTGCTCACTTCTCAATGTTTTCCCTTTATGCTCCTCTTTGGGCACTGAGTCTCACTGGGGTATGGCTCTGGCTGTCTACTCATTGGTGAATGCAGGAAGTGAGTGCCAGCAGGGAAACAAACCATGAAGCCATCATAATACAGCCCATGTCTTCCTTCCTTCCTTCAACAAGGTTGGATGTTGAAGGGAATGAGCAACAATTTGATCATTAGTTTCAGGGGCTGGTATCTAGACTTTCCCCATTTCGATTTCACCACTCCTTAACCCATGCAAGCTTATCGTAGCCTCAGCCCTGTCTGAGTACTGCTAATTCAGCATGTCCTGATACTAAACTGCAAAAATGTGAGCCGTGAGGAAGTTACATACAGGTTTCAAGATGATTTAGACAGGCCATGAGGGGACAGGTACATGGCAGAGCATTTCTTAAATGGTGAGATATTTGAAAGCGTGGATGTCAAAAGGGACCTGGGTATCCTCATAAGTCATTGAAAGCTTGCCGGAACACTAAGTAATTCAGGAGGCAAATGGTATGCTGACGTTTATGACAAGAGGATTTGAACACAAGTAAGTTAGTCTTGCTGCAATGAGACGACAGCTGGAGTATCGTGCACATTTTTGGTTCCCTTACCTAAGAAGGGATATAGTTACCAGAGAGGGAATCCAGTGAAGGCTCACCAGACTGATTACTGTAAAGATTTATAAGGAGAGACTGAGGAGAGTGGCCTTACATTCTCTAGAGTTTAACAGAATGAGAGGTGATCTCATTGAAGCTCACAGGGCTAGACAGCGTAGATGCAGAAAGGATGTTTCCTCTGTCTGGCTAAGACATCAAGAATCAGTGAGCGCAATCACAAAACTAAGGCCAGACCATTTAGGACTGAGATTCAGAATAAATTATTCACTCACAGTGAGCTGAATCTTTGGAATTTACTACCTCAGAGGGCAGTGAAGACTCAGTCGCTGCACATATTCAAGACAGGGATCAATAGAGTTCTAGGTACTAAATTTATCAATGGCTATGCAATACTGTGGAAAAATAGCACTGAAGCAGAAGATCAGCCATGATCTAGTCGAACGATGAAGCAAACCAAGGGGCCAAATTACTTACTCCTATTTCTTACATTCCAATGTTCTAGCCCAGCATGAGACTTTCTGATCTTTTCTCAAATCTTTGTTTGGGTGAGGGGTATCAAAGAGTGGTGGTATCCGGTTTGGGAGGATTTGGATGGAGGTCAGCGGAAACTGTGAAACTCAGTCCTCCCTCCCTTCAACTTGCTAACGTTGACTCCCAGAAGCCTACAGATGACACCATCATGCTGTTAAACAGCACTGGCCTCAGTACAGTCACAGACAGACAGCTTGGCATACTGCAGGCCTACTCACCACCCATCCTCTCCCTGATCCGGTGATGCCCGTCAGTTTGATCTTTTAATGATTGGCAAAAAGAAATGGCAATATATTTATAGGCCTGATCACATCCTCTAAATATCCCTAAATTCCACTGTGGTACTTTTTTTTTGAAGTGTACTTGCTGTTGTAACACAGGAAATGCAGGATTGCCAATTTGTGTACAGCAAGCTCCCAAAAACAACAATGTGATAATGACTCAGACCAGCTGCTTTCGGTGATGCTGGATGAGGTCAAAAATCACATGGCACCAGGTTATAATCCAACAGGTTTATTTGAAAACACCAGCTTTCGGAGCATTGCTACACCTGATGAAGAAGCAATGTTGCGAAAGCTAGTGTTTTCAAATAAACCTGTTGGCCTATAACCTGGTGCCATTGACTTTCGACCTTGTCCAACCCAGTCCAACACTGGCACCTCCACATCATTTTCTTTTCAAAGCAGTGTTTACCTGAAAGGACAGTTCAGAACTCAGGTTTAACTTCTCAACTGAAAAACGGCATATCTGACAGTGCTGTGCTCCCTTAGTACTGGAACAAGGACTGCCATCAACGTGCTCAGACCCTATCATCGAACGCATGACAAAAGTTAAACAGATATACACACAATGTCATTCCACCCCAATAGCACATTTCAATTTAAAGTCAGACAAATGCTATCCAAGACACATGGTGTCACACCTGTATATTCAGATATAGAATTACACAAAATGTACAGCGCAGTCGCAGGCCATTCAGCCCAAATGGTATACGCCAGCCACTTCTGCTCCAGATGAGTCTCCTTACCTCCTTACACCCCCTTACCTTCTTCTCCCAGGCCTCCAGAGACCACTGGTGGAACCTGCATGACTAACCGAGTCAATTAGCATCCAAACCGATGAGCCCTCAGAGTACTTAGAAATTCCACTGATTAGCAGTCTGAGTGAGCCTCTCTAGTGTTGAGATCAACGTACCTTGATCTGCCTGCTTCCGTGAAGTCAACCCTGTTATCAGCTCTGGATAGCTCCGCTGTGCTCTCATCTGATAAAAGAAAGAGAAAAGATTCATTGGAGCAACTGATACCTGAGGGAGGTAGCCAGTCTTCAAGGGTAGGGCACAGGGCTAACTACAGAGACCACATAATCATGCCCAGTGGTGAGCAAAGCCCCTCTCCAGTGATTGAGCAAAGTGATGTTATCAAAGCACTTTGCCTGTTGTTGCAATTATTTTTAAGGGGGACATTGGCCCAGGGTCACAGGGAAGGGTCAACTGCTCTGGCCCACAGAAGAGAGGTTGACTGCCCTGAGTCACAGTGGTGGGGTCAACAGGCCTGTGCAATAGGCAAGAGATCACTGCCCCTGGAAGAAGGAGGTGTTACTCACCCTGTTTACCAGAACCACAGTGAATTACATTAGTCCAGCTGCCTTGCAATATACTTCAAACAGGTAGCTCACCCTCCCATCTAAGAATGAAACCAAGTAAAGGGATTTCATAGTCCCACAATGTTCCATTCAGAAACCTACTCACCTTCCAGGGAAAGGGACTGTACCAGGCTATCACAGTATGAAGCTATGTCTGCCAGTGACTGCCACTCAGTGTTAGAGTTATCAGAGGTCGCAGTATCTGAAAAAGAAAGATGAAATAATGTAATTTGCACAGAATGGGATGTCTTCTCAGTGTTATCCTGAAGAACTGCGTACCCTCCTCTTCCATAATTACACTTTTTGAGAGGCTAGGTATTGGGTGTACCTTACCTAATTGCCCCTTATAGTGTTTAGATTCTGAATACCCAACTGTTGGAGACCTCACCACTGAGCCAAACCCAGTCCTTTCCCAACAGCAAGCGAGAGTCGAAACACAGCTCAGATTCTTTATCCCTGGGGGAAGGATGAGGATAGAATATAAAATTTCTTATGATGGCTGTGGGTCTTGGGCATTTTCCAATTATCTCTCCTCACCCCAATGTCGCAGCCGGTTACTTTACCGTCCAGTTGGAGGCAAGATGGCAAGTTTTGGTTGGCACCAGCGGGTGAGCTGCTCAACATGGATTCGGTCAGATGGGCCTGTTGGGAGTCCTGGAGGTCAGGATCGGAGCCACTCGAAGAGAAAATCCCTGCAGAGTTGGTCCCAGAAAAAGAGTTTTGGAGAGTAGCAGCCTGGATTAGAATCAGAAAAAGCCATTGGTGTCATAATCACAGGGACTTCTGGTAGCATTACTGAAATTGTTCTTGGGCTTGTAATGTTATACTTACATTCATACACTACCTTAACAAGGTGACATATACAGCACATTACTTTAGAGTGGTGTGTAGCCAAGTGCACCAGCCATTTTGCACATCAATGTTGCATGATAGGATCAATGGGCAATTAATCTGTTGTTTTTGGGGAAGCAGCTGAGAGGGGAATATTGGTTCTAGGACATTAGGAGAACCACCAAACACCCCCTCCCACCCCCCACAACCCTTCTTCCAGCATCAGCCTTGGTATCATTGACATCAACTCACATTTTTTTTCTTTATTCATTCACGGGACGAGGGCGTCTCTGGCATTGCAGCATTTATTGCCCATCCCTAATTGCCCAGAGGGCAGTTAAGAGTCAACCACATTGCTGTGGGTCTGGAGTCACATGTAGCCCAGACCAGGTAAGGATGGCAGTTTCCTCCTCTAACGGACATTAGTGAACCAGATGGGTTTTTTCTGACAATCGACAATAGATTCATGGCATCGTTAGACTGTTAATTCCAGATATTTATTGAATTCAAATTCCACCATCTGCTGTGGCGGGATTTGAACCACGTCCTCAGAACATTATCTGGGTCTCTGGATTAACAGTCCAGCGATAATACCACTAGGCCATCGCCTCCCCTATATAGACAGATGGTGGAGTGGTGTGGGGAAAAGGAAGCGTGGTGGGGCTTGTTTTCATGTCTCGCCTGTAAGACGGCACCTCTCCAACAGCGCAGTGTTCCTTCAGTGATACTCTCCCTGTGGAGCGTCAGCCTGGGTACAGGCTGAAGTTGTGGAGCGGAAATTGGACCCATCACTTTCTGGGTGAGAGAGAGAAGAGTGAGACCAACAGCACAGAGTGGACACAAGGAGAAACAGAGTGAAGAGGTTAGGCCTAAAAGGGAGGTCAGTTTGTTTGAGAAAAGGTGATCAAGTTGGAAATAATATTTCTGTACTGGGAGAGGAAATGGATACAGACAGTATTTGGGATCCAACGATGATTGAATGCATTTCTGGAAGGGATTAAGGGATAGGGCGAGAAGGTGGAAAGGTGAAGTTAAACACACACACACACACACACACACACACACACACACACACACACACA